AAAAGCAAAAGCTTATATACATTTATATACCTAAAAAAAGAAAGACTGAAAGGAAGGCTGATCACTAAAATGTTAGTAGTGATTATTTTAGAGGGTAGGGGGCAGTAAGATCATTAAAAAAAATTTTTTTTTTGGCCGCGCGTGGGGGCTCAGCTTGTAATCCCAGCACTTTGGGAGGCTGAGGCGAGAGGACTGCCTGAGCCTAGGGGTTCAACACCAGCCTGGGCAACTTGGTGAGACCTCGTTTCTACAATAAATCACAAAAACTAGCCTGGCATGGTGGCGTGTACTTGTAGTTCCAGCTACTTGGAAGGTTGGGGGAGAAGGATCACCTAAGTCCAGCAGGTCGAGGCTGCAGTGGCCGTGACCGTGCCACTACACTCCAGCCTGGGTGACAAAGAGTGAGACTCCAACTCAAAAAAACAAAAAACCTTTTTTTTTAATTTTAAAAAATTGTGATAAAATAACATAAAATTTACCATCTTAGCCTTTTTTTTTTTTTTTTTGAGTTGGAGTCTCACTCTGTCACCCAGACTGGAGTGCAGTGGCCCCTCCCGGCCACCGCAGCCTCGCCTGCTGGGCTCTGGTGATTCTTCCGCCTCAGCCTTCCAAGTAGTCGGAATTACAGGCGTGCGCTACCATGCCCGGCTGATTTTTTGATTTATTGTAAAGATGAGGTCTCACTGCCCAGGCGGGTCTCGAACCCGCGGGCTCAGGCAATGCACTCACCTCAGCCTCCCAAAGGCGCGGGATTACAGGCTGAGCCACTGAGCCTGGCTCATCTTAGCCATTTTTAAAAGTACATACAGTTTAGTGGCTTTAAATACATTCACACTGTTGTACAACCACCACCACTATCTATTTCCAGAGCTCTCTTCATCTTGCAAAACTGAAACTCTGTACCCATCAAACGGTAATTCCCCTCTCTCCTTCCTCCTAGTCCCTGGCAACCACCATTCTTTCTGTCTCTAAGAATGTGACTATTCTAGGTATCTCGTATGCATGAAATCACACAGCATGTGTCTTTTGCGACTAGCTTATTTCACTTATTTAATGTCTTCAACTTTCATCCATGTTGTAGTATGTGTCAGAATTTCCTTCCTTTTCAAGTAAGGAAAATAATACTTCATTGTATTTATAGACCACATGTTCATCTATTCATCTGCTGATGGACATTTGGGCTGTTTCCACCTTTTGGGAATAATGCTGTTATGAACATGGGTGTACAAATATTTCCTTGAGACCCTGCCTTTAATCAATTCTTTTGCGTACATACCCAAATGTAGAACTGCTGAATTACATGGTGATGTTATTTTTAATTTTTTGAGGATCCACCATACTGTTTTCTAGAGCTTTCTTAACTAATTTTACAATCTGCCTAAGAAAAAACAATTTTAAGCATGTTATAAAACAACACGATCCGACTTTTTAATAAACACCTACAAAAGAAAAACATCGGCACAAAAGATCAACAGTCATTATTTCTGGGTGGTAGGATTATAGGTAATTCTTCTTGTCTTCTTTTGACTGGCTTTATTTTCTAATTTTTCTACAATCATCCTAAATATGTATAATAAAAATAAAAAGCAATTAAAATAGATACACAAAGTTTTTAAAAGGTTGAGAAAATAAACAATGAAATAACAAATAGGCAAACACCTTGGGGAGCTGACTGGGTGGATCTTTCTCTGCATTAAGTTGACAAGGATTCCTGCCTCACTTGTTAAGCCTAATGGGGGGGTCAGGCAACTCGAAGTGCTTAGCTCTTGCCTATAAACAGCAAAGTAACTGAATGGGGTGTGTGGCCCGGTGGGGTGGGCCGCCCACTTGGGCTGTGTGGGGTGGAAATTTTGTATCCTGGGAGCAACTAGATCTGCCTGGGCAGGGCAAAGGGAGGAGAGATGGCTGAAGGGGCTTATCTGTGACTGGGTATCACTGCCCCAAGCTGCCAGGGAGCTGGGCCCCAAGCTGCAAAGAAATACCCACTGCTCAAGTTTCCTCCTCGCCATCTGGTCAGTACTCAGGGTGCAGCTTACCAAGAAAACCATCCAGGTGGGGGCAGGAGCGGCAGCACCGAAAGGCACCTGGGAGGAGGGCAGGCCAGCAGAGGCCTGGGTGTGGCCTGCCTGGCTCTGCAGTGAACCTGCGTGTGGTGCTGGGCCGGTCTTGGCTCCTTGCCCTCTCCGGGCTCTGAGCCTCAGTTGTGCCACCCAGAGCTGAGACGTGAACAGTGGAGAGGGCTCGCCTGGCGTGGTAGTCACGCGGGCCTCTACTGAAGTCCAGAGAAGAGGCTGGAGGAAAGCCAAGGGGCTGAAACTGGAATGGATCCATGGTGGCCTTATCTGGTCCCTCAGGATGGGAAATCCCACACCCTGCCTGTCTCACTACCCTTGCCTGAGGGCGGGCAGGGGGCAACAAAATTCCAAGCAGCCCTTTATTGTGTTTAACAACACAGCCACCCTCCCTCCCAGTCACAAGGGCCTGGAAAAACAGCTCTGGTGAGCATTGTTGTCCCCAAGTCCCCATGCTGCAGATGGGGCCACTGAGACACAGAAGGTGCTAGTGGAGACCACAGCCCAGGACCCCAGTTCCCAGGGAGGCTTCTTCCCCTCCCCCACCCCACACGACTACTTGGCAGGAAAAGCATGAGCCCTGGTCCTGTAGGTCCCCAGTGAGCACTAATTGAGAGACAATGCCTGAATGAACCAGTGACAGACAGGCCAAAGGGGCTCAGGAAGGGAGTCCTTTGTCCCTCTGGGGACCTCAGGCTTGGCCCTTGCTCTGGTGTTGAGCCACAGAGCCTGGGGCACTGGAGGGTGCAGAGCTGGGCAAGCCAGGGCTGTAGGGGGCCAGGATACCCTTCCCCAAGACCTCTCACCTGCCTGGAGTCCCTCATTTGCTAAGGGGCCGGGGATTGAATTCCTGGCCTGGTCTTTGAGCCACTCTCCTCCCTGCTCCCCCACCATGGGCAACTTGCTGCTCTCAGTAAGATGGTGGGAGTGGGAAAAACAAACAGGCCTGTGTCCTCCTCCCTGCAGCTCTCCAGCCTGGAATGCTCTTCCCTGGCCCATCCTACCTGTCCTTCACCCCCACACTCTTCAAGTGCTCACTGGTGGCTCACAGGCACCATGTTCGATGTCAGTTCTGCCTGACAGTAGGTCCAGCGGGGAGCCAGCCACCCGGACCCAGGAGCCCACAGAGTCCCTAACAGGCAGGAAGAGCAGCTGTGTGGTCAGTGGGGCAGCAGGGAGTTGGTGGGAAGGCTCACTCTGGAGTTAGGTCTGGAAGGACGTGCAGTGACGCCATGGGCAGGGGAGCAGAGAAAGGCACTCCAGGCAGTGGGACAGCCATGCAAAAGCAGGGCAGGACTGTTGCCAGGAAACGGCGCGGGTAAGAGGGACTCTCAGAAGACAAGCAGCTCAGGCAGCCACAGAGGTGGGGGTCAGGATGGTAGGAGCCCCCTGGCGAAGCTTCCAAGCAGATTCGTGCCAAGAGCTCTGGAAGATGAGACTACCAGGGCAACAGCTGTGTTATTAGAGTTCTGAGAGCCACCCTGTTCAAATGGGACCTCGTCCCTCATATCTCCCAAGATACGGAGCAAACCCCACTCCCGAGCGCCATCCCTGATGATACCACATCTCAGTCATGCTGGGAGGATAGGCATCATAATCCCATTTTACAGAAGAAACTGAGGATCAGGGAAGGTCAAACGCTTGCCCAAGGCCACAGAGCTGGGAGGTAGGTGCAGAGCCCAGGTCTACTGATGCCAGGCCTGGCTCTCTGACATGGTGGAAGCGAAGCGTCCATTATCCCCCAGGGGATGAGTTGGATGGCAGCCTTGGCAGAGAGGAGAGGCTAAGGGCACTGCCTGTTTGAGCAGAGTGGTCAGGGCAGTGACAAGCTGCAGCACAGCTCTCTTGAGAAGATGCACCAGGCTCTGGTCCCAGCCGGTCCATCGATCTCCAGGGAAAGTGATCCTGAGACTTTGCTAGCTTTTAGTGCCACCTGATAGCCTAGGCAGAGGGGCCCAGCAAGGCCCGTGGGGCAGGTTTCCTGGCATTCTGTGATTCCTGCTCCCTGTCTGGTCCAGCTCCAAGGCTTCCAGTTCCCTCCATCTTTCCTGTTCAGGTCCATCCCCCCAGTCCCAAGGAGAAGGAAGGAGGCCCCTGAATGGCTCAGGGGTGGTGGGCATGGCCTTGACTTTAGACATCCCAGGAGTGGAAGTTCACCAAAGCTGGAGCCAGAGGGTCCTTAGGGACCCCAGTCTAAGAAGATGAGACTCTCTGCTATAGCAGGTCCCAGGATGTGATGAAACAGCAAGGGACCCAGGGTCAGAGACCAGGTCTTCAGTCCCTAGCAGGGTGACTTTGGCCAAGTCGCTTAACTCCATCTGTCAAATGGGGATAAAAGGATTCTCTTGTTACAAGATCACACTGAGTCTGGATGCAGTGGCTCACGTCTGTAATCCCAGCACTTTGGGAGGCAGAGGCAAGAGGCTTGTCTGAACTCAGGGGTTTGAGACCAACATAGCAAGACCTCGTCTCTACAATAAATTTTAAAAATTAGCTGGGTATGGTGGCACGCGCCTGTGGTTCCAGTGACTTGGAAGGCTGAGGCGGAAGGATGGCCTGAGCACAGGTGGTTAAGGTTGTGGTGGCCAGGAGTGTGCCACTGCACTCCAGCCTGCGCAACAGAGTGAAACTCTGACTCAAAAAACAAGATCACACAGAGGATTAAAGAAAATTGTGCCAAAAACCACCCACCCCCTAAGAGTTCAGCAAGTAGTAAGTCAATGTTCAATTCCTGATAGGAGGATCTGGGCCCGGGGAGGAGCTGGAAGTTCTCACATCTATACTGCAGCCTGGGGCAGAGCTGGAGTCTGAACTTGGCTCCCAATGAGACTGATGCTCTTCCTCTACTCCAGCTAGCACAGCCAATCCAGGTGGGGTAACCCAGCCCCACCCCTAGCCCTCAAGGGGTGAACAGGAAGCCACACTTACTTGAGGATGTCCTTCTTGTTGAAGAAGGTGCAGTCCTGTTAAGCGAAAACACACACACACAGTCGGTCGTGAGGGTCCCAGGCTCCCTTCTTCCTCCGAGCCCTGGATGCCACAGGGCCTTAGGGAATGGCACTGGACTGGGGCCAGAAGAGTCACTACCACCCCTCCCTGCCCCTGCCTGCTGGAGATAGCCGGTTCTAGAAAAAACGCCTCCTGAAGCCTTTGTCCTGGGCCAGGTCTGCAGGGCTAAGTGTGTGGCAGGTGTGAGGAGGGCTGTGCAGAGTGCTTGGGGCATGTTTAGGAGGGAGGTGGGGAGCTCACAGGACAACATGGCTGACTGAGGGCCGGTGAGACACCCTAGGGGATAACAGAGGTGGATGGGAGACAGCTCCACGACGAGGACCCACAGGGCCACCATCCACCTTGTGGCCCTGAGAATGGTGCTAGTGGAGTCATGTGGTTTGTGTCCCGAGTGGCTGCAGGCTGCAGCCCTGAGCTCTGAGGTTGAAGTGTTCCAGACAACATTGAAGAGGGACGCATCAGTGTGCACTTGACATAGGAAGCCACAGGAACAGATGAGGTCACACAGGAAAAGGGACTGGAGAGGCCCAGGGTGTGGAGAGAAGGATGGTGGGTGGGGAGGAGCCAGTGGCATCTGGACCGACGTAAGGATGGAGGCTGTTGGGGACACCATGGTAGACACTACTCAGAGTGGGGGCAGCACTCAGTTCCTTGAGGCTCATCTTGAGGGGGTAATCTCACATCTGCCCCATCTATGGTTTGGCCAAGGATCAACCTGGAATCTGTGACGAGGCTACCATGCCAAGTCTCGGTGAGAAGTATGGAGGTGAAAAGGACTCAGCACTTGGTAAAATGCCCAACCTTCATGGGCATCTATGCTTCTCCCAGCTGTTCAACTTCTCCACCTTTGCCTACTGATGCAGCATGAAGGAAGAAGGTCTCTTAGGTCTGCAGAGCCCAGAGCCCACAGGGCCCCCTGGGGCCATATGCTGACCAGAGCTGCTCTGACCAGGGGCAAATGGCCATGGCCTAGGCCTGCAGGCAGCCAAGAGTGCCCTGGATGAGACCTGAAGCCACTGGACACCAGGGCAACTGGACTGCATGTTGAGAGGGCCAAAGAGAGGATACCCACAACATCTAGGGTTTCCACTGAGCCCTTCAGGAGAGCTGAAGGGGAAGAGTGGGTGGAAATTTCCAGGCCCCATGTGGCCCAACAAGTCTGTCCTTCTAAGCTACCTGCTGCTCCCCGGGAATTAGACTAAGGACCCTCATGCTGCCTCACCCTTCTTGAAAATTTGGGGGTTTCTCCTGGGTACTAGATTTTGCTTTTTTGAGGTTTTTTTGGAGTCGGTTCTCACTCTGTCATCCAGGGGCTCACTCTGTTGTCCAGGCCAGAGTGCAGTGGTGTGATCTCGGCTCACCACAACCTGACCCCCCGGGCTCAAGTGATCCACCCACCTCAGTCTCCCGGGTAGCTGGGACTACAGGCACATGCAACCATGCCTGGCTAATTTTTTTTTTTTTTTTAGAGACAAGGTCTCGTTGTATTGACTAGGCTGGTCTCCAACTTCTAGGCTCAAGGAATCCTCCTGTCTCAGCCTCCCACAGTTCTGGCACGAACCACTGCATGGATCTGCATTTAAGACACCCTCCCAGTGATGGAGGTGTGTGTGAAAGCAGGGGGGTGAAGGGGTCTGCTCTAGAGGAAAATCACCTGGGGAGCCCCCTACCTCTCACCAGAGCCCCTGGGGGGAGCCAAGTGTCAGAGGTTCTGCTCAGGTGGTTCCAACATGCAGCCCAGGCTGAGAACCATATCACAGGCAGAACATGGTTGCCCTGCATGGGGCACCTGGGGCTCTGAATAGCCCATCTTGGTTAGTCCTCATCACTAGCCTGAGGGGGCAGGCATTGGCTCCCTATTTTATAGATGGGAAAACAGACTTGGCAAAGTGGACAGCTTGCTCTAAGTTGTACCCGCAGTCCAGAGGGCTGGGATTGGAACCCAGGCCTGTGTGCTTCTTGACCTCTGCCCATGACTACAGATAGGACCATGGTCCGCTAAGTCTGCTGTACACATGCCACTCCATGTCCTGCATCTGCCATGTATTCCTATACCTGGCACACAGGAGGCACTCAACACAGGCTTGTGGGCTGAGCGGCCAGGCTTCTCCATGTGTATCTTATATGGCAGTTGTGTTATCATTTAAGGCTGCAGAATATCCCACTGAAGGCATTGCCCCTGCTTGCCCCTGCTTGGTAGCCTAACCTTTCTCTTCTTTCTTTCTTTCTTTTTTTTTTTTTGGAGTCGCTTCTTACTCTGTCATCCAGGCTAGAATACAGTGGCATGATCACAGCTCTCTGCAGCCTCGACCTCTTGAGCTCAGGTGACCCTTCCACCTTAGCCTCCCGAGTAGCTGAGACTACAGGCACATGTCACCATGCCCAGCTAATTTTTAAATTTTGTGTAAAGATAGGGTCTTACTATGTTGCCCACTCTGGTCTCAAACTCCTGGCCTCAAGTGACACTCCTGCCTCAGTCTCCCAAATAGCTAGGATTTAAAGGTATGAAAGAACCTGGCCACTTTCTCCTCTTTCTGAACATTTAGTAACATTTGGTTTTTGGTTTCAACCTCACTGATAAAACCTCCATGAACCTGCTCACTGACTGATGTTTGACTTTGTCTTCTATTGACTTGTCTCCCTAGGATTCATCCCAGGAGGGGCAGCTCACAGGGATGAACGCATCAGGTGTCCTTAAAAGCTCCTTAGGGCTCTGAGCAGCCTGGCGTGTGGAAGGGAGAAAGGTTTGGTAGTCAGATTCCAATTCTAGTCCTGCTTTACACCCTTAGGCATGTCACTGTCCTTTCTGAGCCTCAGTTTCTGCATCTATAAAATGGGAACAGTGCCTCTGAAAGGAACAGAGTGAGGAGCTAATGAGATAAGAGCAGAGGTCTGGAGGCCATGGCTGGAAGGGGTTCTCCTCGCCTTTAGAGCAACAGCGCCACCCACCACCTCACATCCCAAAGGCATCTCCCCACCTGCAGCTTTGTGCTTGTCTCTCTCTGAAGTCACCAAAGACCCCATCTGCCCCCACACAGCCAGCTGCCCTGGGAGCTAAAGCCATGTGTCTGCAGGAGTCCTTTCTTCTACTCCTCTGACAGCAAATGCCCCATCACTGCTTGGCTCCTGCATAGGGATATAGGGACAGGCTTTCAGGTAAAGGTGGCAGCTCAGGTTAGGGTCAAGGGGAGTGAGAAGGAGGGAGGGGCCCCAGCCCAGGAGAGGTGGCCCTCAGGACTTTGGCAGAAGCCCATATTCCCTCTCTCCCTCACCTGGAGTATTCTTCACTTTCTCCACATCCTTTGCACACTCCAAAGCTCAACTCAAAGGTAGCCTCCCTACCTCCCTCTCCTACACGCTACCTCTGCCTGGGCCAGCAGTCAGGAGTTGAGCTACCACCTGTCCCAGCTGGAGCAGAAGTGGCTCTCCATCCAGCTCTGCCAGCCAGATCTGGGCACTGCTCAGTTGACCGTCCCAGGTCGCAGGTCAGCTGGAGTGTTTTCAATTGGTCCCCACAAGAGCCCTGCGACATGAGCTCAAGCTGGCTAGCAGTTATTCCCATTTTAGAGATGGAACCACTGAAGCACAGAAGGGCATGCTAGCTTGCTGAGGCCCACAGCATCCACTGCCCAGTTGATATGAATCCAGGACTTCCAAATCCTTTTCTGGGGTGCTTTCATCTCCTGGAGCCCTGCTTACCAAGTACTCAGGCAAAGGCCACACAGGAAAGAAGATGGAGTGTAAACAGACAGGGACATGCCTAGTATAGACCAGCCTAGGAATATGTATACATCCTAGGTGCACTGAGTACTCCCAGCTGAGTGGATTAGGAGGGGAAGGTGACAGGGAGCCTCTCCCAGAGAGGTGAGACCTGGGCTGGACAGAAAAATGGGCCAGACTAGGTCAGCAAAGAGGTGGGTGGGGGGAAGCCAGGAGGACAAGGCCAGAGGTGAGAGTGCACGCTTGGTTAGAAGCCCTTCTGTGTGGTTAGAACTTGGGGTACAGAGGGAAAGAGAGGAAGAAGTGAAGCTGGAGGCTGGTTGAGCCCAGGCTCAGGCTGTCATCCAAGACCTCGTGGAATTGCTGGGAGAGGAGAGGGTGGTACCTATGTTCTAGAAAGTTTCCTCCTATCCTTTGACCTCACATTTCCACTCCAGGTGTCCACAGCCCATGGGTTGTCCCTCAGGTCTCCCAGCAGGAGGGGATTGGGTGCCCACAGATGATGCAGCTCTTTGTCCTTGGATTATTCTTACAGGAAGACATTGTTGCGTAAGAGTGATGCATGTAGTGTCTGTTGAGAAAGAGGAAGGAAGGAAGCAAGGAAGGGAGGAAGAGAGAGAGAACCAAGGAGCTGAGGCAGAAGCATGTGGGTGGCTGCAGGGGTGAGAGACAAGGTGGTTAGACCTCCAGTCTGCATGAGACTGAGCAGCCCTGGCCCAGGGCCCTGGCTGTGGGGGCAGAGGAGGGGTCTCCAGGTGCATCACAAAAAAAGGCTGAGTCACGGGACTGGTTCTTAATTGAAACAGGGAAAACAGAGAGCTGGAAGGCTGAGGGAGCAGCAGTGGATTCTGGGAAGGCCGTGAACCCTCTTTGGAGATTTGAGGGGTCCAGGGGACAGATGTGCCATCCAGAGGAGTGGTCTGGGCAAAAGCTTGAAATTTGGGAATCACTGGTACCTAGGAGCCAGGGAGGGGGTTCCCTGCCTTGGGAGGGTTAGGCTCCCAGGCTAGGAAGCCCCAAGAAGCCCTAGGGTCACTTGGGGGAAGGGGGTGTATCTCAAGGTCATCCCCACCAGCCCCAGCAGGTGCGTGGCTGGCTGGAGAGCCAGAGGGAGGGAGGTGTGGAGCTCTCAGCTTTCACAGTTCTCATGCTCCCACCCGCCTGGCGGGGTCCAGCCCAGCTCTGGCAAAGGATCAGAACCCAGCACTGGGACTGGCTCCGACGAGTAACTCAACTCCAGTAGGGTCTGAGTGGGAACCCAGGCTCCCCACCCCCACGAGGCGACTCCTCACTTCTGCCCAGGCCCACCTCCAATCCTTTATCTAAATGATCTCCTCACCTGGAATGCCACCCCTGGGCCCTGCTGGGCAAAATCCTGCCCTTCCTCCAACGGCTTGTTCAAGTGCCATGCTGTTCCTGAACCTTCCAGTCAAAGCAGAGCCCCTTTCCCTGTTGGCCTCCTACTGCCACCAGTGCCCTCCCCCAGAACCCACTCCTCTGTCACAAGGACCACACTGGAGGTGACACTCTACCTCACAAGTGTCTTAGGGACAAAAGGCACACATGGCCCAGCTTGGCCTACTCCCAACTAAAGGAATGAACCTTGGATTCGAGATTCAAATTCCTGTGTGAACCCTGATAGGTCAGGGTACAGAATGGCACCTCAGCCTCTGTTTACTCTTCTGTAAAATGGGGCTACTAACCCATCTCACTGTGATGATCAAATGAGTTGATGTATAGAGGCATCAACTACAGCTCCCGGTACACAGTAAGTGCTCTGTAAATGTGATTCCTGTCTTCCTTCCCAGGGCCTCACATGGGAGCTGAGAAATGCATGTTATTGACAACTAGGGGTTCTAGGAGGGGGAGGGACCCTGTTTTTACCTCCACTCACATGAAAAGACCCATACTTTCCTTCTTTCCTTCTTAATAAAAATCAGTATTTGTGAAAGCAATAAGCATCTAGGGAGACCCTCCCGGTGGTCTCTCCCATTTATGCAGGCGGCAACACAGTCCCACCCCCTATGCCTGAGGAATCAGGAAAAAGGCATCAGACTCAGGCCTCAAAGGATGAGGAAGATCACCTGGAAACAGAGGAGAGGCATCCCAGGTCCAGGAAACCGGATGGCCAAGGGGAGGGAGGGAGGAAAGACCCTGGCAAATTGGGGAACTGCAAACTATTCTGAGGTGGTTGTGGAGCAGAGGGCAGGGAAGGACGGAAAGTCTGAGGCTGGAGAAATGAGCTGGGCAGCTGGCAGGGCTCTGGACAAGCCAGAGGCTGGGCTCCATCCTGCAACCACAGAGAAGTTTTTGCATGGGTGGAAGGGCACTGGAAACCCAGACCTAGGCAGCTGACTCCGGAGGCAGGAAAATCTAGGTCTCAGAGGGCGGCTGCTGAGGGCCTGAGGGTCTTGGAGACGAGGCCGGTGGTAACCGGCTTGCCTTCTTGCTCATTTCCGTGTTGGGGTCAGAGGGAGATACCCCAACTAAACAAGATACTCCCAACTGAAGACTGCCTTTGGGGGCCCAGGCACCCCATTCCCAGCCCAGATAGGACCCCAGCTCTCATTTCTGCTTTACAGAGATTCCGCCTTCTGGTATTGGGGGGCGGAAAACGGGGAGGATGGTCCTCCGCCCAGCCCAGTTGACAGACTCTCCATCTCCGTGCCAGGGTGGACGCTGGGATGGGTGGCTGGGGAGGGGCTCGGGTCCACCCTGGGGCGAGGAGTAAGCGGCGCGGTAGCCGGAGTGAGGCGTGCCTGAGAGCATTAGCATCTTCCAACTGGCAAGCACTCTCATCCACCAAGTGGGAAACTGAGGCTTGGCGAGGGGAGTCACTGGCCCAAGGTCATGCTGCGAGCTGAAGGCAGCCGCAAGGTTCGAACCCGGGTAAGCCGGCTTTAGGGAGGCCTCGGTAAGCGATCCAGAAAGGGGGGAGGCGCGGAGGGCCGCCTGGGGGGCGGGGGTCGCGCGCGCAACTCACCTGGTAGTTGTCCAGCTGCTCTTCGGTGAAGATGGTCTGCTTGTTCCCCATGGTGGCCGCCGCCTCCCATCCGCGGCCGCCGGAGCCCGCGCCCCGCGTCGGCGGCCCTCGCCAGCCCAGCGCCGGGCAGCGTCCCACCGCGGCCGGACCTGCCGCCCCGCCCCGCCCCGCCCCGCCCCGCCCGGCAGCTCGCCCGGAGCGGGCGCGCTGGGGTCTCGGAGGCGGGGATCGGGTCGGGGAGCGGCGGCGACTCCGCCCCCTGGAGGGAAGAGGGGCGGGCTCCCGGCTCGGCGGCTGCGGCGCGTCCCCGGCCC